CTTTTATCCGTCTGTGTTTTGGTGTTTGTGTGTCTTGTATTACTTTGCTGGTCGTCTGCTTAATAGTAAGGTGTTAGAGGTACGATGATTTAATGTTGTTCGTGCTTATTTAGTCTCTTTTTGTTTGAGCTTGTTTTGTTAATTTGTTACATTTTTTTCTTTTATTCTTGTACTTACTATCAATCAAAACCCCGTTATAGCGTGCACCTCCATTACCTAAGGTAACTACTCTGATCATCTTAGCTCTTACGTTACAGCTTGGGATCTGTGTTCACCAATCAGTCGGTCAAACAGTTTTATACACATAAATTTCGTTTATGTTTCTTGTCGTTTAGGGTGTAGGCTTTGCGAATATTTATTATATCGTTGATTTTTGGTTTCGTGGTTTGTCGCGCTATAATTGGTTTTATGATGTTAAAATAGTAAATGTAAGCTGTTAAGCTTCTTTATAATCTGGAAACATTGTCTCAGCATAGTACTAATTCTGTAATTAAATACTTGTTCAAATTTGTAATCATGCACGAAGTTTCTATTAAACGTTAAACCGAACCACTACGTGTGTTTTCTCTATGTGCATCTCAGGCACACTAGAAATATCCCAACATTGGTTATGGGCCATGGTTCCGTTGTTTCGGTCAAATAAGTACACAAAGTGTCTACGTTTTTTTTAAATCATTGTTTTCTTAAATTTTGAAACGTTTATTTCGCGCGAAATGAACGTGGTGAAATAGTCATAATTAACATGTCGCATCAAATAGAAAAACTTGGTGTGCACATTTATGATGTTTGGCATATGGCCATGATAAGTGTCTTGATGATGGCGGACCCATGGAATGTTGTGTGTGAAATATGTATAAAGCCAAAAGGAAAAATTGCATACATAATCTTAAATCTGAAGCCAAAACAGTTAATGCACATCAAGTCATGCCCAACATCTGCAGCCATATGGAACAAATTAAACGATATTCATTTGTCAGTAAAACCGATTAAAAAGGTCCAATTATGACAAAAATTAATTTCAATATGGAGCAGGGTGACGACGAAGTCGCATTTGTTAATTCACTTGTTGAGACAATTGAAAAGTTGGCAGAATTTGACATCCAATTTTTGCTTGATTGCATGTATTGCAATTTGTTTCTACTTGTATATTTTCAACTTTCATACCACGCACCACTTGCTTGTCATTAAGCAATTTCAAATCCTTAAAATTCAGGTGGCCAAATCTATTGAGCCATTTTGTGGAAGATGAATCAGAACTATTTAGCATATGAACGTGATCAAGACTATGTTTGTACAAATTAACCGAAAAAGGGTAGTTACGTTATAAATGATTTATTTCTGGCTGACCCGTGAGGGTCTCTTAGCCTATCCCTCGAAGCTCTGGGTTGTCGGCAGAACCTCCGGTATCTCGCTGAGTCAGTGCCTCGTGACCGACCATCGTTGGTCACTCAGCGCGCGCATGCGAGGGTATCGGTTATCGTGTCCCGTTCAGCAGCCAGAATTTGCTGACCGTTGCAACACGGGCAGCAACTACTTTTTTGCGCGTGTTAGCTCCTCCCTCGGATAAGTGGCACCGTCCTCGGTGCTCCTTGGAAGAGCTTCAGGGTCCAGGGTGTTCTCCAGGGTGGACCAAACTTATTCAGATAGCTACGCAACAAGCAAGAAAGATGACCACCACGGTGTGCCACGGCACAGCTGCTCATGATGGGTTTTGATAATATTTCGTCTTTCAAGTCGCTAATGTGCTGTAGATTCCTGATGCTCAGCTAGTGACATTCCCGAGACGACTGGGCTCTTCTGCAAGACGCCTTTGTGGTTGATGAACCGACTTCTGTTCAGAGAGATGTAATCTGCGAAAGTCAGACGATAGGTTCCGGAGATTAGTTGGTTGTCCCCGTTGGAGGATACGGCGTCCATGGTTGCGTCGTTTATGATGATAACACCTTCGTCGACCACCGTAATGGGATCCAGGTGTCCCGTGCGGGTATTGCATGTAGCGGCGGTTCCAGATACAGTTGTGCACAAGATTCTGCCTTAAGCTTCTTGCAGAAGGTATTGCTGGCTGCATCTCTGCGGCTTCCCACGGTGAAGGTGTGCGTACTGCAGTCAGCGACCATGTTACCATCTTCAAAATCTAAAACTATTTTATTACTTTGTACAGGATAAACAATGATTTTCTTACAAACTAGTTGAGGGATTGGGATCTTAATTAGGAAGTGCAAAATGTCATTATTTTAGAAAGCCTTAATAGTCCTTAATTATAATGTAATAATAATCCTTAACAATCCTAGATACTTCTTAAATGCTAGGTTCACTAACGTTTGTGAGATGTTCATTCATGGCATCTCGGATGTCGCCGCTGTTCAGGATAGTTAGGCTGATGAGGTCTATTTTGGCTAAAGTTAAAGTTAAAAGTAATTTCTCTAAATCCGAAATTATTATCCTGTTCTCTGCCAGTATAGTCTCGTTTAGGTGTTCGGTTGACTGTTTCGTCCGTCTTGTGGATAGAGTTAAGTGCGTCCGTGATTGAATTTAGTCGTTCTTGAATATTTTTATTTATTTGTACGTGCCTGTTTTCTGTTTCTAATTACTGTCCTTGCTTGAATCTAACATGTTGCCAATCGTCGAAGTCCGGTGTCCCTGCACCCACCTTTAGGGCGGTGACTAGCAAATTTATGCTTTGTGCTTGCCTATTGTGAACTCTTAGCGTAGCTACCAATGTGTTCCTTAGTGAATACGTCCAGTACGCATTTCGTCCTGTCTGCGTAATCCTCATAGGAGGATACGTTTTTGGTCCTAAGTATCTGAATCTGTTCGAAATCGTCACGTCTCCGTCAACTATGGGTATGTGTCTTGTGTGTGAGTAGTCCGTATATTTTGTCGTGGAGGTCACATAAGTCAGGGTTATCCTTATAAGTATTATCCTAAGTCCTAACCTAAAATGTGTTAAAGTTCTTATTATTTTGGATGCTAAAGGTGTTCTTAGGGATTCTATTTTATCTAACGGAGATTGTCTTTATGGACTACCCTCCCCTTGATAAGGACAGTCGTCCCGAGGTCTGCCTCTGCAATTTCCTCAGAACATAAGGGTGTTAGCTCATTTCCTAGCCGCTTGTGTTGTTTTAACCATACCTTGTCGTTTGCTTGGTAGGTTTTATATGTGTATTGTACGATTGTGCTTTATTGTGGCCATAGGTACCAGTTCCACCGTGTTGTCGATTTGTTTAACGATATTTATACAACGAGCTATTTCAGTGAGGGTGCTATGGAAAATTTCAACGTGCCTATTTGACGAACTGTGCAGTGAGGCTGCATTTGCGATGTGGATATTAAAGTTGTTCAATAAAATGGAATTGATTGTTTCGGAGTTCAGCGATTTCTCGATATCGCAGTAGATTGTCGGAATTTTTGGGTAAAGGTTGATCAGTTGCAGTATTGGATTTTTTATATCCAGTATTGTTTGCGACTCTATCGGTTGTACTATGGCGAGTTTCGAGAATTTATCGACACAGGTGAGGAAGGACCTGTTAAAAATACGTCGACGTGGAGTATTTCTCCAGCGTAGGTTGGGACAGGTGTCTGACCGAGGGCTTGCTTGATCGGCCATCTTTGAAAAGAAATAGTCTCTTAAGACTTGTTTCACGTTTTCTTGGGCTGCGCGATGAGCGCGGTTATGTTCAGTTATCATTGTCTCCCTCTGTTCTGAGGGGTCGGTAATGTCAGTGACAAGGAATTTGCAGTGTTTTAATGTTGTCGAAGGGAATGTTTCGACTAAGTAGTTTGTATTGGATGAATGCCAATATCGGTCGCTCGCAACGGATTGCGTTAACTACATCGACCCTTCCTGCGTCCAACAAAGTTTTCCATAGCGTGTCGCGTTCGCATAATCTAATTTTTTCTTTAAAAAAAAAAATAAAATAAACAGTTAACTGGCTTATCAATTGTTTCTGTTGTGTAAGTGAATGATTCCTAACTGTGACAGGTGGCAACGTCCGAGTCCGGGCTATCTTCTACCGTGTTTATTAGCTGGCGTGACAGGGCATCCGCCACAACGTTTTCTTTTCCCGATTTGTAAATTAGATTTTTTCATCGATAAACGCTTTCCAGCGTTTTATATTAGCGTTAGGATTCTTATCGGAGACCGCGAATGTAAGTGGTTGGTGGTCTGTGAAGATATTTGCTAACCCCATAAAGATAGCTTCTAAGCTTTTTTAGTGACCCGACGATGGCTTGCAGCTCCCTCTAGTTTGTCTGAAAGTTTTTCTTGTTGTCGTGCAACGTGCGTGAAATCATCGAAGCCAGGATACTTTTTAGCTTTGAAAAGGTTTGTAATGGGTTCTGGCTTAGTTTGATTTCCACTTTTCGTGAGTGGTTTTTACTGATGGGGAATTGGGGGCCTGGCGATTTTGGCGTAATCTTTAATAAAACAGCGATAGTAACTCGTAAGGCCTGGGGGCTGGGAAATTTGAAATCGTTTTGCACCTTTTCAGGTGAGGTTTTTAAATCATCCCTGGATACGATGAATCCCAAATATTCTACGCTTTCTTTAAAAAACTTGGACTTGTCTTGGGAGATTCGCATACCTGCATCATAAAGACTTTTAAGGACCTAATCGATGTCCTTAATATGGCCTTCTTTTGTTTCTGAGAAGATAATTACGTCGTCTACATAAACGTAGCACGATTTGTTTGTGACGGATCTATTCATAAATATATAGATATAAAACACAAATATATTGAACAGTAACTTGAGTATTGACTTTTAGCTATCATTCCAACGATCGATTTCAGTTACATACATTTCAAAATATTAGTTATTGCATGATATTAATCTATCTAAAAATTTCGGTTGTAACAATCTTGGTAATTTCTGTTGCATATGTATCTACGACATACATATGTATTTATAAAACTATACCTCAAGACAAGTCGAGCTTGTCCGACTAAAGCAGTCTTATTTGCAGTCTAATTTGCATTATTAAATAGAATTTACATTTTTAGGTAAACCGAAAATAAGAAGACCGCTTAAGGATGTTGAGGTAAATGAAGGAAGTTCCCTAACCTTAGAAGTTGAAATATACAGCAATCCAGATGCCAATGTAAAATGGTAAATATACTAGCTTACTTATATAAATAATTATTCCTACATAAGATTTTTAAAATAATAGGTTTAAGAATGGGCATGAAATTCATGAAGATGCAAACATCAAAATCATAAGGGATTCCCAACGTATTGAAAATTATTACTTAACTTTAAATCTTGCTAAAGTTGAAGACTCTGGCACATACGAAGTGAAGGCATCAAATTTCATTGGAGAGACAACATCAAGTTGCAAGGTTATAGTTTTGAGTAAGTATATTTGTATTTCATGAAATTTATATATAATGCAGGCTTTTTGTTATTTTCTCGTATATTTCAAAGCGATAATATGTATTGAATTGTCTCGTTTTCCCTCGCCTTATTTGTAATTTCTCTACAATTGGAGGACCGCTCTTTTACGTAAAAGTCTTATCTTAATTGCTTTGTATAGGCTAGATATTATTTCCAAAAATTCAGTACTAGGTTTGGTATATCATTTCTGATACCAAATTTAATTCTTGCATACTTCACTTCTGCTCTTTTTAAAGGTAGGTGTTTAAGTTATTTATATATATATATATGCTTATTGGCTAGATAATACCAAAGCATATGCTTCACACTCTTAAGTTTGTGCTGGGCTTATCCCTTCATGTGTACTGTACATCCGGGCCTCCTTGTAACGCAGCTTGCTACAAGATCTTGCAAGTGAGTCAGGTTTGGCTGCATTCAGATGCTGTTTGGGCGACAAAAACAATTTGGATTTTGGCAATGGATTTGGCATGCCATCTATTGTGGTTATATGTCAACGAATCGATTTACTCGAATTGCGTAACCTTAAATTGGAATGCCCCAGAACTTGGTAATAAGATGGGTTGGATGATGTTCGGATGTAATACAATCTTAAATGACCTGGCCTATGACGCGCTAGTATAAAATTCGAAAAAAACATGGATCTGCGAGTGAACGGACGTCGAACCTCATCGACCCTAATGGGTATCCATGCTGGATAATTCCAGCAGGACAATAGCGGTAGGCAGGACCTTTGAATTTTTCTCCAACAATAGAGTGGTTACGAAAGCGACCTTGCGACAGCCCTCACGATGTTGAGTAAGATTGAGTTTAGTCTTTTTGCGGGCCTCCGACTAGAAAATGACCAAGACTCAAGGTGAGTGAAGTTGAGGCATGCTGCGCTATTCGACAAGAAAGTATAAATTTCCAAGACATACCTGGAAAGGGAGGGAAACTGATGACCCCCGCTTCCGATAAACCACCCATTTGGGCGCTCCTGGCGGTATAAAACGCAGGGTGACCGTAAATTTAGGTCACCTGTCCCTATTGCCTCAAGCGGATTTGGACAGACGCAACTTTTAAAGTCGAACGGTCGAAGTTAAAAAAAATATTTGAATAAATTTGCGACCCAATAGCCCGCTAGATACGGAAAGGTTAGCACTTGTATTCATCTGCATACCCCTGACAGCATTTTATAAAGCAGCATACGTAGCTCAAGCGCGTGACACTCTATTGAAATCGGAACATTGTGTATGGATACCGTCAGAGGGCGAAATAGTTGTCATGTAAGACTACACTGTGCGCTTTTCCAATCTCGTATCTTTGCCTTTATCATCCCTATGCGATATCCGTTTTCGAAAATGGGATTGATTATATCCGAACACTTGCGGTGAATCGTTTGGTATGGCAGCTTATAAGAATGTCTCTTCCGTTCCAGAATAGAACGGGGCGAGTACTTAGTAGCTCAAATATTATTAAGAACCGTGCCTAACAACATTCTTTATGTGTAATTCTGGAGGGTGGCTTGTGGCTTTGAAGTGGTGGATCTTAACGCTGGACTGCGGTTATATTAGGATAGAAAAGTTGTTTCAGTGGTGAAGCGTGCCGGATCGTCCGTTGTAGGTGTAGCAATTATTGAGATTGATGCGCCATGGCAAAATAATTTCTGCATAGCTCCTTTGTTTTCATGTTAGCGGATCCATCATTGACAGTTAACTGAAGTAAGCGAGGTCATGCTCTCCCTGGATAATTTTCTTTGTGAAGAAGTCCTGGGTGTAACGGTCTTTGGCAACAATTTCTTTAGCTTAACCGATTATTATGGTAATTATGTAGTGCCTGAAAAGAGGTCGGGGAAGGTCAACCACCGCAGATAGAAACTCTATCTGCAAACCGAGAGACTGCAAACCCTGGCTATGGTAGCGAGTGGAGACACTTGGAGGGGTCCCTTTGGAATAAGCTACATACTAAATTTGTGTTGAGATTCACTTCGGTAATAAATGGTGTATTAATCCTTGATTTAAATTATCAATCGCGCAATTGCAGAGCCGATGTTATTAAGCATCTGTGCTCCCGATTGCATATAAATTAGAAGATTTAGGAGCAGATACCCACTGGTTACATAATTTCTTATAATGAAAGCTACTCCATAAAATTTCCGAAATTGTGCCACTGACAGTGCATCGGACAACGCCGCCTTTGCATGCTTAGTTATTGACTATCATGAAAATATCGAAATTCGCAGCCAGCTAAGTATTCCTTGGGCTCAAAAGAAAACACCCACTTGACCTCCCCCAAAGAGTCTAACTCTACACACTTCACTGCTCCCCTACACTAAACAGACACATAGATACACGCAATTCCTAATTGCCAACGTACACAGAAAACATTTAATTATTGCCCAGAAGGCGGGCAGATTTTAATTTAAAACGAGAAAGAAACGCTATCTTCGGCACGCCGAAGATCTAATACCCTTGCAGACCCAATTTTTTCATAATGCACATAGTGATTTGCCCGTATCTAAGAAGCACAGGGAAAATAGTTAATGCCGAGTTTGGTCAAGATATCTTGATAAACAAAATGTTTTTTCATATAACAACCTAATTTTCGACCGATCGTTCCTATGGCAGCTATATGATATAGTGGTCCGATCTTAATAGGATTTTGCATATATATGAGGAGCTTAGTAAAACTAATAAATGCCGAGTTTGTTCAAGATATCTTGATAAACAAAATGTTTTTTCATACAAAAACTTAATTTTCGACCGATCGTTCCTATAGCAGCTATATGATATAGTGGTCCGATCCAGCTGGTTTTCACATATGTGCTGCGCGCAACAGAAATATGGAGTTCTGCAAAGTTTCATTAGGATAGCTTTAAAAATGAGGGACTTGTTCGCATATAAACAGACAGACGGACAGACGGTCAGACGGATGTACGGACATGGCTATATCGACTCGGCTGTTGATGCTGATCAAGAATATGTATACCTTATGGGGTCGGAGATGTCTCCTTCTATGCGTTACAAATTCTCGACAATTTATAATACCCTCTGCAAGGGTATACAAATAATTATGTTAAAAAAAAACGAGAAAGATCTAATAACCTTGCAGACCCAACCTTTTTATAATGCTAATAGTGATTTGCCAGTATCTAAAAAGCACAGGGAAAATAGTTAATGCCGAGTTTGGTCAAGATATTTATTTTTTTTATTTATTTATTTATTTATTAATGGTCGACAGAACGAGTGTCTTCCTCATTATTCAATAGATTTTACAATAGATAATAGAATTATATGCTAAAAGCCAAGTTAAATAATACAATTTTCTAAATAGCATCACCGACCGATGGAGGTGTTTTACTTGCCAGTCCGGCCAGCTGTGCCCCTTTTTACAGCTAATTTTGTCAGTCACGCTATTAGAGCCTACATCTAAGCAGAAGATTGTAGGTAAGAAAAAAGTGTTCTCAAGTGAAATTAACAAGTAAGAGGTTCTAGTCGGGAGCTCCCGACTAGGGGATACCCTGAACCCTCTTCTTCCAACATCAAATGCATATATATATTCTATTTTAGAAGTTATATGTCAAGTTTAGTGACTCTAGCTCTTATTATTGACCAAAATTGCCCAAAAAACAGGATATCGATATCGATTTTTATCGATTGCTTGGAAACGGAGCAAGTTATCGATTATAGGAAAAATCTAAACCTACATCTAAAATTTCATGTCTCTAGCTCTTATAGGTTCTGAGATCCTTGCGTTCATACATACGGACGGACGGACATACAGACATGGCTAGATCGACTCGGCTATTGAAACTGATCAAGAATATATATACTTTATGGGATCGGAGATGCTTCCTTCTGCCTGTTACATACATTTGGCTTTCGCACAAATACAATATACCGTCATACCCATTTTAATGGGTTCAGGGTATACAAAAATTTTAATTTGTTATATTAGTAAAGAAAATACAATAAATAGGAAAAAATAAAGTAAGAAGATTGTTAATAAAGTAAAGCAATGTGAGTGTAAGATAAAAAGTGTTAAGTAGATAGGATAAAGAGAAAAGTAATGGGAAATCCCCGACCCGGTGGGAGAAAATTTGTTCAGCCTGTCCGGCAAGCTATGCCCCTGCTTATAGCTGGGAATGGTCAGCGACTTCCCGAAGGTATCCTGACATCAACGATTTTATTAGAGGTAGAGACAGTTCGGTAGAGAAAACTTGATGCAAAGCATTATAATTTTTACATAGCACGCGAAAAAGATTGTGCATAGCGTAGTCTGTTGTGCACGTAGATAGAAATAAGGGGCGATAATTTCTGGTTGGTCTAGCCGGAACAGAGAATTGAAGACGCCCTAGCAGAAAAGGAGAATCTATGTCGCCAATAATCAACTTATGTAGAAGGACAACACCGTTAACGACGGAAGGTTGAGAAAAAGCAGTCTGCTGGAGTAGGATCGCAACAGAAGGTTAGATTCCCAACTTAAGCCTCGTAAGGCAGAAGCAGAAATTGCTTCTGAACTGATTCAATACGATCCTGGCTATTGTTATACTGTGGTTACCAGATGCAAGAGCAGTATTTAAGGATAGGGCGAACAAGAGAGATGTACAGAAGTTTTGTTATAAAAGGATCGTTAAACTCTTTAGACCATCGTTAAATGAATCCAAGTACACCTTTTGCCTCATTAACGATGGTATCTATGTGAAGATTGAAACAGAGTTTAGAATCATAAATAACGCCTAGATCCTTAACTGTTAGTAGACGTTGCAAAGGGATATTGTCGATTGTATAACTGACAATATAAGTTGTAGTACGATTAAATGTCATAAACATACACTTTGAACAATTTAGATGCAATTGATTGGCCGAACACCAATATTGCATAGTGTTCAAATCGTCTTGAAGACGAGAATGATATAGGGGATTAGTGTATGATAGAATAAGTTTCACGTCATCCGCATATATAAGTACACGGGCATGTGA